TTTAATTAAGATAAAGACAGTAGTGGCAGGGTAGATGGAAAAGATTTCTAGGAAAACATTTAAATTTGGGTAATTTTTTTCTTTAACATTTACTAATATTTAAGTCAATGTGATTTTTTTTCAAGTCACTTAATCATTTAACAATTTGCTGATTACGTATTTTGAGCCAAAGCCTGTGCTAGCAGAATCTGGAAATGTAAAGATGGATTAAGACATAGTACCTACTTTCAAAGTTCTATATCTAATAGGCAAGAGGGATTTGAACATGGCCAGACAACAAAAGCAGAGAAAATAGCCAAAGAGAAGCAAGGCAGTAACATATCACATGAATTTTCATAAGTTTCCAGATTTCTAATATATCCAATACTCAGACTGTTGAAATTAATGGGGGTTATTTTTTCATATCATCCATCACTGAAGATACACTCTGGATAACTAACTAGAAACAAAAACAAACAACACACAAAAATCATACAAACCGTATTTGTTGCTCTGGACATGTTTGAATTTGTTCCTCAGTTTCATTTGTTTCAGATTTTCACATTTCATAGCTCACTTAGCCTTTATGAGTCAGATGGAAACATTTTAAAAATCTATTCTTATATACTTATTTGCATATATGCTTATTTTATAAACTTGGAATTTTCAGATTAAGTTTCTGACCATAATGTTGAAGTCCCATGACAGAGTAGAACATTTTTACCAATTTTCTCTATAATCCAATCCCTAAAAATATTTTTAAGCTTAGCACATAAAATGTTTACATATACAAAAAAATAGATGTATACTTAGGAAAGAACAAAATTTATAGACGCTCAAAAATTATTTGGGAAGCTGGATTAAAACAATATTGGCTAGTTTTCTAAAAAATATATAAAATCTTAAAGTGAAATCATAGGACTATAGAAAGCTCAACAATGGTGAATTGGAATAATGTTTTATTTTCTGAATGCAAATTGATTAAACTCTGTGAACTTGAATCAAATGATTAACTTCTCTGTGCCATGCATTACTCATTTATAATATTGAGCTAACCTATCTGAGGAAGTTTAATGGTGCATTATGCAATTTCAAAGGAAAGAATTTTGCAAAATTCAACAAACATTGACATATTTTTGAAATAATAATTAGGTAAAAAAAATAGATGACCTAAAGCTATAATTGTTAGAAATGAAAATATGCATCTGTATGAAAAAATGTCACTTTTCCCCCCTTTGGTAACTTATTCGAAAAATCTCATAATATTAAGAATTAAAATTTAAATGACCTCTTTACAGTAAGAGCACAGATGGAGTTTGTCAGCCTCTATACAAGTAAGCTCTCTACAAGTGGCCTTGCTTGCCCTGTGGCTGACAGAGAGGGAGCTCTGACATACCTGATTTTCAGAGAGCCTGCATTATGACCTTCCTCCAGTACTTTGAGATTGTAATAGACATGAATGAAGATCCATTCCTAAAAGTGAAAGACATTCAATTATATAATTAATTAATTTGGTTGTTTATAATTGCTCTGCAGTCAAGTGATCAGGGAACAGGAAGTGAAGGCTTTGGAACAGTGCCAGTATGTTCAAAGACAATTCTGTTCTCAGAGAGCCTGTGATGACAACGGCAGCAGGCACAGCCCTTCAGGAATCTGAGTTACAGGACTGCTGAAAAGCATGGTTTAACCTGCTCGGTGTCCCAAGTCAGGAAAAGGATTTGTTTTGACTCTAGGGTTCTCTTCAGAGTTCTGGGGTCAGAAAAAGTTGCTATAGCAGAGTTGGTTTCTCTATTGATCAGAAAACAGTCTTAGCAGAAATGTTAGCAGGAAAACAAGAGCCAGTATGAAAGTAGATAAATAGAGAGATGGATGACAATGAATATATGTTGATACTCCATAGTATGGCTTAGTTACTGAATGCATTTGAACTAGTACAATCTGGCTGGTCAATTAAAGTCATCTGAAAGAACTTAACACACATCACATTTTTCAAAACCACCAAAAAGGCCAATTTTATCCACACATTTTACTGCTAGAATCTTGGAATTCATATAAAAATGAAATACACAGAAACAGAGTAGAATGGTGGCTAGCAGGGGTTGGTGGAGAAGGAAATGAGAAGTTACTGTTCAACAGACATAAAATTTCAGTTATGCATAATGAATCATTTCTAGAGATCTGCTCTATGATGTGCCTATGGTCAAAAATACTGTTATGTACAGAAAAATATGTTAGGTAGATCTCATGTTAAGTATTCTTACCACAAACACACAAAAAGAGGCTATTCTAAATAAACAGGTATGCCAGTCTTACATCTTCATTAATATATATATTTTATCAATAAATATAGGTTATCCAATTATTTCATGTTTTCATGCTATGTCAAACTATATATATAGAAATACAAAGCTTTGGCTAATTACAAAAATAAATTTAAACTTATAAGTAAGATATAATAAGAAATTGAGTTAAGTAGTCTATGGATTTCTGACAACATCAAATTTCCAAAATACAGCTGCACATCTAGAAGTCAGCAAGATTCTGATGGGAAAAGGTTTGAGGAACAGGAGGAGATTGGTAGAACAAAGACTTACTCCTGTCTTCTGCACTAGAATTTAATGAATAAAACCGTCTTACTGTATAAATAACCTGGTATGTATGTTCATTAAGAAAACCATATAAGTCTTCCTCAGATATGAAAGAAGCATAGTGGAAACTGAACATAAAATGACAAAACTTGGAAGAGAAGAGCTCATTTAGAGAGCTGTGAAAATTGCTATTTGGTGGGTAGTAATATCTGATATCAAGACATATAGAATTAATAAATACAGTAATTTTGGGAAATTGTGTAAAAATGCAAGCCAAGCATCATAACTTCAATATATCCTCTGCCCTTCATGTTTTTGAAAGGAAGGCCTTCTGATGTGATGGTTCATATATTTCCAAAAAGTTTGTTTCCCTTCTACTTTGAATCACCAAGTCATCCTTAAAAGAAAACATATTTATTCTTTACACCTAGTAGAAGGACATTGTGGTAGAGAAAATGATACCCCTACACCCAACGGATAACTACATTTTAATCTCCAGAATCTGTGAATATGTACCTTGCATGGCAAAAGGGACTTTGCAGGTATGATTAAACTAAGGATTTTGAGATGGGAAAATTATCCTAGATTATCTGCCTTATAAGAGGGAGACAGGAGGGCCAGAGTTAAAAGAAGAAGGAAAGAGAGAGATTTGAAGACAGTGTATTGATGGCTTGGTGGTGGAGAAAGGCGTCAGGAGCCAAGGAAGGAGGGCAGCTTCTAGAATGTGGAAAAGGCAAGGAACCTGATTATCCCCTAGGCCCTGGAGAGGAAGCAAAACTATCAACACTTTGATTTTAGCAGTGTAAAATACATTTTGGACTTCTGACCTCCAAGAAAATAGCTTTGTGTTGCTTCAACTACAATATAATGGTAATTTCTTACAGCAGCAGTAGGAATCAAATACAGATATCTTCATAACTCAAGCCTTTACAACTAAAATTAAGGGATGAGTTAAAGTGCTTTGAATGTGTAAAAAAGCAAGGAAATACCCAGAGTATTCCAGTAGTGGAGTGAGTGGTTGTACTTGCTTTAATTGGCGGCTTGAGCTACCTGTGTCCAACGATGGGATTGGCAATGTAACGAAAGGAGACATGTGAGAGCAATTAAATTTCAATTTTCTTTCCTGCCAAGAGTCAATGATTTTTTTTTTATAATTTCAGTTATGCTCTAAAGGGATTTGCCATGTTGTCTTGGTCAAAAAAGGACTCTTCAAGATGACATTCTGTTACTTCTTATTTTTTCTCCATCTGTATCTTACATAGCAAAATGTGCTCAGGGTACAAGTCAAAACAAAAATTTTTTTTTTTATTCTGAGAGTGTTGAAGTTCAGTCTTCACTCTAAAAATCAAGCTGTTCTTTCTGATTCACATCTAGTGTAACTGATAATAATCACTGAAATTTATAGAAATCAGATGTACCTGGTTTGGATGACATGTAGCTAAAAAGAGTTTGCTTTTCTATGAGCCTAATTTCACTGTGACAACAGTAGCAATCAGATGATTTGAGGCTCAAAAATAGCCAGAATATGTTCTGGAAATGTTTAAGGAACAAGAGAATAAATAAATATAGAAGTTATAAAGTAAAATCATTAATTCATGCCATCTAGAAGGAGGTTATATTAAGCTGTTAGGAAAAAATGAAATCTATACCAATTTAAAATAAGTACCAATTTTCTCATAGCATATACCATAATTCAAACTAAACTAATACAGTAATACCTTGTAGGAATTTTTAAGTCTACTTTAATAAATGTATATGATATAAAAGATCATATGATAGCTTTTCATAAATTTATTGCTATGATCTTTATATCATTAGATGGTTTTAGAAAATTTTTAATAGCTGATTTATAATGTCCTTTAGGAATTCATTCCCTACTCTTAGACATTAACTTATGCTGCCTACCAAAAGAGGTTAACTCAATCCAGATAAACTCCAGATCAGCCACTGATAATTCTGTTAATGATATCCCAAGTAAGATGGTTTCATTACACCATTACAAAATAATAATAAAAATAATACTTTTGTGAATACTCTTTCCTGTGGCTGCAAAGAAGATTGTAAATGTTGCCTAGGATTTTCAAAGAACTTTGTAAGTGTGGCCTAGGATTTTCAAACCTGATAAAAAAAAAACTGTTTAAAAAGCAAACATTGGATATGAAAGGAGAGGCAAGTAAGATCTAAATAGAGATGATGAGCATGATCACAGCTTTAAGAAATCTGACAGTGGTTTTGGAGATTTATGATCTAACATCCTTCTGCTTCATACTTTATCTCTAAAATGCATTTGGCAGTCAGCACTGCTTCTAATAAATAAATAAACCGAAAAGCAAATAGAAAATGCTCTCCTCAGCCCTGGTGAAAAGCAGGAAGCCTGGCTGTGGCTCCCGAGCTACACCCAGCTGCTCCTGTGAGCCAGCTAATGGTAATGCTCGCGCTGCTCCTGTGTGCTACTTAATAGCAATGCTCGCGTAATCAGCAGCGCAGCACTAGAGAAACGATGCTTATGGTGAGTAGAAAATGATCACTAGAGCTGAGACGCTATTGAGAAACTATTCGATGTGGTGCTGGTGGCCCTTGTTTTGGTGTCTCCTTTATAGCTGCTGCCTGTATACCCAATCCTATCAGTGACTGCGGGTCTGCGCCTGCTTCATGGAGCTTCTGATAGATACTGAAGAAGCTGGTTGTATCATTAACAGTCAGAAGCTAGAAAAATAGATACAGACTCTCAAATTTTCATTTTTTTATTTCTGCTCCACAGTCTTTCTACTTGTGTGTCTGTGTGAGGGCAGCTTTCACATCTTTCAGCATCCTTCACTTCCTCTAATTTGGGCAGAAGGAAATATTTCTATTCTTTCTCTTACATTATTACTGAACTTTGCATCCTCGACAAAAGCTATACAACGCCTCAATCGTAACTCTTTACATTGTGTTATGAATTTGATAATGTATGTCTCTCTTCGGGACTCTGAAGTTTGTGAGAAAAAGTATAGCGCTTGATTCATCATTTTTAAATCCAGTGATGAAACTGAGTGTTCTTGAAAAGTTGTTTGAAAGAGAATGGATGGAATATAACCCATTAATACTGTTTCTTTGTGGTCTTTATGATGCTATGATACTGACAGCATTTCAAAATCTCACCTCTTTTTCCTGGAATGGGTGGGTAGATATTATTAGATCCTGAGATCAAGACCAAAAATTTCAATAATGAAGCTGGGACTTAAGTTGCTATCATAAAAATGGAGTTCTTTAGCATTGTGCATCTATGTTAGTGTGTTCTGAAAGATGACTGTTCAGTCAAGGTTTTAATTATAAGAATGGAAAAAAGACTAATTCTAGCAACAAGGGGATTTATTACAAGGTTATTTATTAGAAAGAATTTGGGGAGCTTCAGAGGCTCAAGGAGAATATTGGGAAACTCACAGAGACTCAGGCAGAAACTGCCAGAGATGAGCATAAACAAGATCCTGCCACTGCTGAGGATCTGCCAGGATGCTGCCACTGGACACCCATGGCCACGCCTGTGTATTCCCGCCTCTACCACAGTCTCTGCAAAGTAATCAGACACTCGCTTGTTCCTTTGAATCAAAGTTCGAAAATAACTGTCTAATGGGCTGGACCTGAGTAACATAACATCTACTTTACTGAGTTCACTGATTCTAATGCTAATTCCATCTGGAAATATCCTCACAGACGCAACCAGAGAGAATGTTTCATCTGGACACCCTTTGGCCCAGTCAAGTTGACACACAAAAAATTAACTCACAAATGTAAAAACATGAAAATGCCAAAGTTTTACTGTGACTGAGGTCCTGACCCATTTGAAATCTGCTTCTGTCACTGAAGTATTTCTCTACTCTTGGGACTTTATTACTTTAGGTTTTGTACAACGAAATCATAAAATACACAGAGTAGGAACAAGAATGTGAGTAATTGATGGGTTTAGTTTCAGAGTATTTTTTTTTCATTATTTCTCCACATAAAATAGAGGATACCTTCTCATATTTGGGAGTTTTACTTAACATTTTTTTTTTATCATAGGGTTTGAACCCAACATCTCTGCAAGTACTTTCTAACCCACATACATATGCTAATCAAAAAATATGTACAATTACAAAGCTAATTCATGAAAACCTACCTAGTTCATTATAGAAAGTAGCATTGTTTTAAGATTAGGAATTAAATTGAACTCAACTTTTTAATGACATTTCAAGGATGTCTGTTGGGGAAGAGTTTCTCTGATTAGACAAAGGTGAGGACATATCAACAACTTTGTGGGAGAGAAGAGAAAGGATTTTTCACGTTCAGCAAAAAGAAACTTAGTCAGGGAGGAAGTATCAAGGGCCAAAAGGAGACTAAGATGTAAATACATGTATGTGAGATTTTATGAAGTGTAACTCACTCAACCCAACAAATAAAATGTAGGAAGGGAAAGTGGAGGAAAATGTGGCACATTAGTATATAGCAAGCAGAAAAATCAGCTACATTAGCCACTAATGGTCACGATAGACTCAACTATTATTCGGAAAAAGAGATAGAAGCAAGGGAGAAAAATTAGTTTTTCATATGCAAGTACAGGATAACAGGAATCTAGAGGACTTTCCCAAGCTAGATATGTATTAATCAGGCATTTGTGTTGTCCCACATTTATAAGGACATTGACATATTCTGAATGCAATTATTGCTCATTAAGAGTTTCTTTAAAAAAAAAAAGGTGGGTAAGAATAATACTAGCTGATCAACCCATCAGAACCTTCATGTTCTAGAATATTCCAAAGGTGCTATCAAGTGTCCACATATAACAAATTAAAACGAGTTGCCTATTTTGGTTTGTTTGTTTCCCTCACTTCATATGGATGGAAAATAAAACATTTCATTATGAGTATTAGTATTCTGGAAAAAAAGAATTGTACAAAATAAACACCTAAAGTTTTATATTTAAAATTTTATCCATCTGAACATAAATCTAGAACTCTCCTGCTTCTGATGCAGTCTCATGCAAAGACAAGTTATTGCCTTAACTTAAAGAGTACAGATAACTAATTTTAAAAAAATTATCTTAAATATTACCATTATAGCCTTTAAAGCAACTTGATGAATATTTTTAAAATGCACTCTTGTCACAGCACAGGTGCTACATTTCAGCCCTTTTTCATTCTCTTCAGATAGATATCTTTGCACAGTGCACAACCTGCATAACAATATTTGACTGCTCTTTAAAACTTCATAGAATATTCCCAGGGAAACATTATTTCCCCAATTGAATCATATTAATTCTAATGTCTTCATTTATAAATATGTGTCGATTATCATACACCATTCATAGAGTCAGAGCAAATGAATGCATATTGCAAAGCTCAACACTGAATGTCTTATTTTCTAAAGAAATAATCAAAATAGCTCCCTTTTTAAAGCACTTTCATTGTATGAAGTATTCCAGTAGGTACTATACATACATACTATTTATTTCTCCAAAAAGCCTCTGAGAATGGTAAGCTTTCCTAGCTTGAGAGAAGTTGTGTATGTTCTTTCCTTCTTCAAGGTTGTAACTGTTCTCCACAAATATAGAGGTATTCAGAGATCTCTAGTGATCCACATATATAATTATAACCTATATTTTGATTCAATTTATAAATCGATTTTTGAGGCATGAGTATTTACTACCATATCGCCCTGTTCCTGCATATCTGTGCATCTGTGTCAGAGAGACTGTTCAAACTATGAATGCCTGGAGAAGAACTGGAGATATTATATATTTACATTTTATATTATATACATTTATATATATACATTTCTTTCTCAAAGTTATACATATATATATAATTTTGCTTTTAATTGTCCATTACTTAAATCAAACTAATTATGTAACAAACTGTCTTATTATTTGTTGATCATCAACATACCTTAATTACATAGATTTAGGCAAAGTGCTATTTCCTCTTGGATTACCTTTCTGGTAATCTGTACAGATTCAAAGCCAGGCTTCGAGTATATCTGCGTTTCCGCCCAGTTTCTTCCTCTGTGTTTGCCTGTTGTTTTCTGTCCTTCTGCCCTCCTCACTTTTACACCTTACCCATGTCCTGCTATTAACCTTGAAATAATGTAGGAAATGGAAACCATGAATATCTTGTACCAAGCTCTCTAAATTTTTTCATGCTAATGTGCACAGATTTTAATATGATTATTCTAAACAACAGCAACAGCAGGACAGATTTTTTTCAGCTAGAGGTGAGAAGAGAAAGGAGCATATTCAGGTGAGGGGGATAGAGAACTTGGTACCACTTACCAAGTAAAATGAAAGAACTGAAATTTAGAATTCTTACAAAGAGTCTGTATGAATTAATCAATATTTATAAATCAGAATTTCCATGGTCACTAATAGCATTGCAGGTTCTATCACCTTGAATAAAGTACATAACTCGAAAGTAGAACTATGAACAGAGAAGTTACTCTCAGACTTCAAATGGCACTCTTTCACGGCACGTACACTCAGCCTGGTAAGCCACAGAAATCAGGTCTGCTTATTTCACAGAGGGAAAAACAATTGCACCATTATCATCAATGCTGAGCTGTGAGCTTCTAAAACGTAAGTTAGATTTTTTTCCACCTAATGCATTGTCAAAAATACTGCCAGAAACATACTGAACTCAGAATTTTTCATTGCTGGTGATGATGCATGAAGTGGAAAGAGCATAGCCTGATTTTCTAATAAGTGGTTAAGCTTGCACTACTGACTACATTATCACCAAAAAAAGAACTTGATAACTTAGTGAGTATGAAATGAAAGTCACTGATGGGGGAGAAAACTGGAACACTAAGACATGTCAGCTTTACAGAATCAAATTTTTGGAAATACTGTACTTTAAATCAAAGAAAGAAGGTAACATAGGAATGTTTTATAGGAAGTTACTATGATAGCACTTTTGAATAAAATGTATTTTCCTTAAAAATGCTTCCAATAGAAAGTATTTGATATTTTTAAACAAAAAAATTAAGTATAAGCCTCCATAGTCAATTTTCTTGCTGTAAAACACAAAATTGACTTCGATAATAGTAATATTCTAGTGATAAGCAATGATACATCACACAATAATGGGAAATAGAGAAACGAGAAAATCTGTGCTTGTCTTAAAAATAAGCTGCTATTTTTGGACCAATTTACACACACTTGTATATATATAGAATCAAATTATGTAATAAGCAAAATTTGGTAACATTAGAGTCTTTTAACAACCTTATTATTGGTTCCTGGAGTCCAGGTTGTATAGAATAAGCAGGCATGGGCAGAATAGGTTACACAAATAGGTGAACCTATTCATCATATGATTTTTCTCAGAATCACTTAAGAATAACTTATTGTGTTGGGTAATAGATATAATATTCTATCTCATATAATCTTATTTTAACATACTCATATTATCTCTTTTAAGCCTGCTCTACATTGGAAATATCACTGTATATACTCACAGATTGCCCTTTCCATTTCCTGTTATACGTTTACTTTTTCTC